GATGGATTACCTGACAGTAGAAATGATCAACGCCACATATTGGTACCAACACCAGAAAATCGTACATCACCACCGACAACTACCTTCAAAAATCTTTTTTCTGGATTAATAAGTGAAAGTAATTAATTTTTGACTGATCTATTGACCGATTTTTTATTTGATTAATATTACTTTGTCAATATGTACTTTTTTCAAGAGGGGAAAAATCATCGAATGACTTCTCCCGCCTGGGTGAGGCGGTAGGGAGTGTCAGACTCTTACTGACTGAAAACCACCTCGTTACTACTCCTGCACTTCGAGCCGGAGTCCCGGTATCCCGTTAGGTTCTTTGCGGCTCCGTATCGGCATCAGACCTAGTCAGTATGTACTATACCTTTTGATCAGTAAATAAAGCTATTTTGATTTAAAAAAAATACGTAACATAAAAGAATATTATTATTCAACTTCTCTAAAGAATCCAAAAAATCTTACTAGAATACATTCTACGTCTGAAATCTTCAAGAATAATGCTCAAAAACCATATATCACAAGCTATGTACGAGTGTGTGCTAAATATTTAACATAACATTATGGTGTGTCGTAGGCCCACGGCAATGCAGTGGAACGCAAGTACCGTGCCATGTGCGGTCGTTCAACCCTTTTAAAATACTGGCAATTCTGTTTAGCGGTTGATTTTGGTGATGAGCGGAGCGATTAGCGGATGATGGTTGCCGTTATTTTATTCTTATACGGATTATAGATCTCAGTTTAATAAAAGGCGCAGGTTTAAAGAAAGCACTACAGCTTGATTGATCTCTGTACTGACATTTCATCAAATATCTTCTTTATATGTATTATATAATTCTGCTGTACGTGTCTATGTCATTGAACTCCTCCTAAACGGCTTGACCGATTTAAATGAATTTTTTTGTACGCGTTTGAGTGGCGCCCTGGATTGTTTAGATTTACAAATCAGCCCGGCAGATGGCGAAGCAGTCAATGCTTAGGTTAGTTATCCTAAACGGCTGAAGTAATTTCAATGAATTTTTGTTTATACATTCAAGTGGATATGCAGGACAACGTCTGTTGGGTCCGCTAGTACACACGGCTACACATCGAGCGATACCAGGATAAACTGGTTTTGTATAGGTTGATGTGTGGCCGTGAGTACATACATATATAAAAAGTAGCGTTTTTCAAGCCGTTTATCTCTAATGGTGGTTATACAATGTGTTTTTATATTAACGTCAAATTTTTTGGATTTTGTTTAATGTCAATAGTCCACTTTATTAGCAATTTACAAGAGAAAGAAGTTTTACCTTAACAAATAGGTAGCGGTCACAAAACTCTCCCGCGTCGCTTACCACTATGTTACAAGCACGAAGGTGTTAAATTATTACTTTTTATTGATCCGAAGCAAGCATTTTTATTATGCCTAGTTGTGCTTATGTTAATAACTTAGTAAACTGTTCTATCTTGGAAGCTATATATATTTACAAGGTGTTGTTTTAAAGTCGCGTCATTTTCTAGGAGGTAACTCGGACATCGATTCTTAGTCCGAATCAATAAAAAAATTGTAGGTAAATATTTTTCATTTTTCTGTAAATTACGGAAATCCGTAAGTGCGAATCTACACGCCGCCATCTTGTAACTAGCTTTATAACGCGGCTTAACACACACAAACTCAAACATTAATTGATATTATTCCTAATTCCATAAAACTCCAATAAGAAGCATTGCTGTCGCTTTTTCTAAAATACTGTTCAACTGAAACGATTTATTATAGCCGTATTTTTAACTATTGGCCACAAATTTTCTCATACATTGATCCTTTATGACATATTTTTAAAAAAAGAGTAACGAATGGAGTTTCTTGCTCGTTCTTCTCCATTCGAATCTACGTTTTGGAATGAGCACCTAGCTTCACCTAGCCTCACTGACGGACTGACTGACAGACTATTATTTATTTTGTATTTGTTGACGTTTCAAAAGTACCAAACTATGGTTTAATTGAAATAAATGCTTTGACTTTGACTTTGACTTTGGTGACATGCCCCCGAGAAATGACACGGCTTCAAAACTACACCTTATATATATATATTAATAAAATACACAAACTTTTCTAATATTGAGTCCATTACTCGATACTTTTACGCTCAAATACTGAACGGCTACTCAATATTAAGTAGCACTTAATTATCTTGCTATCTCTGTCATTTTATATAGAATTTGTTGTGACAGAACTATAATTATAATATAATTAACTGCCTCGTTGGCCGAGTGGTCGCAAATACGACTGCCGGGCAAGGGGTCTCGGGTTCGATTCCCGGGTCGAGTTAAGTGTTATTAAGTTTTTTTTTTAATTCTCAGTAGAAGCACGAAGTCTAGAATTGTGCCCGGTACATGGCAATAGGCTCACCCCCTATTACATGGGACTCATAATATAAATAGTGAAAAGTAGGTGATACATTGTACAGTGGCATAATGTGCACCTCTGCCTGCTACTTCGGGGATAAAAGTCGTGATGTTGCAAAAAACTAAAATACTCCTAAAATTATTGGTTTTAGGAATTAAATTAAAAAAATGATTTAAGTGGTCACATCTTACTATCGCCAAGGTTATGTTAATACATACATAACCTCATGCCGGTCTCCCATGGGGGTAGGCAGTGACCCTGGAACGCACATTGCTACGATTCTTACGTACCTCTTTCGCTTCATCAACAATCATATATATGTATGTCTCATGTTAATAGGTATATAGGTAATAGTGATATATTACTGAGTATATCAAAGTACTACTGAAGTTTTTAAAAATTCTCAGTAGATGAATTGTGCCCGGTATATGACAATGGACTGACCCCTAATAGGTACAGAAGACTCATAACATAAATAGTGAAAAGTGGGCGTTACATTATACAGGAGACCCTAACGGGTAACCGGGGCTCCGACTCGACGTGCAGGAGACGGAACGGGGTGGTTTTTAGTCAGTAAGAGTCTGACACTCCCTCCCGCCTCACCCAGGCGGGAGCAGTCATTCGATGATTGTTCCCCCTTAAAAAAATACATCCCTGCCTACTCCTTCGGGGATAAAAGGCGCGATGTTATACTATGTAGTTATGTATTATTAAATAAAACAAAATTACAAAACAAGCTTTATTTGTCATTACACTTTGTGTTTGATTGCCGTTTGATGCATCACTTGCGTATAATTACCTAGAATCTAATCATTAGACTGAAACATAACATTTATAATTATAATTATTTACATATAATTTATATAATTCACAGCGAACAACATTCCGATTATAATTTACAAATACATTTTGAATATTATTATATAAATTAAGTATAATAATTATAACTTAAAATATGAAACAGAAATAAAGTATAATTTTTACAATAATTTATATAACAATTTGAATAAAATAATCTTTAATATAAGTACATTTATTACACACAAATAGAGATTGATTTAAATTTAAAGCTTTGAACAATATTTTCAATTTAAATGTAATATCACAAAATGTGGCAGATTATGTACAACAGTTTTTTTTTAATATTATTTTTATTTAATATAACTTAATTTTAGAGTCATGGCTAATAGAAGCTAAATATTTAAATAATAGTTACGTAGAAGGGTATTGAAAATTAGCCTTGTTAGAAAGATTTATTTATTATTTCGAAGAATAGAAATTGAGATGATGCCAGGGTATGAAAATTAAAAATCTCATCAGTCCGTAAGTTAGGTAATGAAAAATATTAGACACATATTTTTTTTTATTTGTCGTATAATAAAACAGTAATTAGATAAAACGAATCAAAGTTTAGGAGTGGGGGCTAAAACGTCATTTCTACGTATAAAATATACATAGAAGTGACGTCACGCGACATTTCAAATCGATATATCGTCTAAAGTATTCGTTTCTGTAAGAAAATACGTGTCTAATGATTTAAAATAATCTACCAGACGGACATTAAAATAAAAATTAGGCATCTACCCTATTGCATTAATGTAGACACATTTCAATTCAAAATAAATATTATTTCTCAAAAACTAAATTTAAATGTACACTTGGATATAAAACATTATTTTTAAATGACTAACACGAAATGATAATAAAAATATATAATAAAACTAATTTTCAATAATGTTGTGCTTCATTATTTTTACACAAACTTATTTCTACCACTGGACAACTGAATTAAAATTAATTAGGTACGACACTTACCTATATAGCTACTATGTCATAAAACTGTACTAATAAAAATAATGTAATTTACGCCAAAATTAACATACATTTTTATACAATGTTATTTTATATTGTTGGTAACATTACAATTAAATAAATGCAAAATTTAATTAATAGTTACAATACATAATAAATCTGCTTAAAATAACTATAATTTTATTTACAATTATTATTATTATATTTTGTATTCGCTACTATAGGCGTGTGAGTAAAGTTGTGAAAGTGTACTCTACTTTTAATATTCCAAAATGAATTCATGATAATGTCCATTTTTCTATTTTATTTATTCGATAATATAAAAAAAATGCGGACAAAAATATTTATTTTATTGTTCATTATTTTTATTAAGGTACACGAATTTGAACATGATATTTGGATGATATTATTTTTTATTTTTATTCTATCTATGTTTATTATTATTTAAGTATAAGTAAAAAATAAAATAATAATTGATCACGCGTTTCCGGAAGCAAAAAATAGAAAATAAAAGACTTATTACTATCCGGCATAGCTCAGTTTAAGAATAAAGAGACGTTCTTTTATTATAATATTATTTTTTTCATAAATGTTTTTAAGCATAAGCCTTAATGCCCGCCATAGAATTCATAATATATTAATACTGATCTGAAATAACACCACCCCATGATTTACAGCCTTTTTATAAGGTAATTGCACTTCTTTTCGCAAATGCTGTATGAGATATGACATTATTTAATGTTATATAATCGAAAAACTATCGGTTGAATAGTTAAAATTTCATTATTTCGAAATTACAAATCTATTATACCAAAAAATAAAATAAGGGAAATTTATATTTAAATAGTATTTCTTATTTTAAAACAAGGCGTTGATGGTATTATGAATTATAGGTAAGTATAATATTTCAGTGCTGCTATTTAAGTTTTTAAATCACAACCTTCCAATTTGAGGCATTTTTTTCAACCGATAGTGTATTAGATTTTATTGGATAGATTTTTATTGATATTTAGGTAGATATATGGGAATATTTGTATAGTACAGGTATCTAGCCTCCCAAGACGAATAGCATAAACGGTAATCAAATCGAAGTCAATAGATAAATCAATATTGTATGAAGTTGACACTGATATAAGTTGTCTCCGTTTACATCAATCTCATACATTGAGGTTTTTCTCTTTTTAATAGCAACCGATTCTCGACCAGTTAACTGCCAGATGAGTGTTGGATGGCGATAGTAAATCTGTTATTGTTTTTGAAGACTCGTTATATTTTAATGAACAAACCGTGCAACTCTGTCTGTTTATCAGTACAGTTAAATGTTAGTATCCTAAGTACTCTCAAGAAAGTTTATGTTGACTTTCAATTGTTCCAATTTGACTAACGTCTATGCTATTTGTTTCATAGGCCTAGAGTATTCATCTATTCACCCAGTTTAGAGTTGTGCGTAACCTTCAGGTTTCCGTTGGGGGGCGCGGCGGCGGGCAGCTGAAGCTCGGCGTCAGAACACATCATCACTAGGATCGTCGTCCAACTCGCACAACAGTTTGCTGCTGTAAATAAAAAAATAAAAAATCGTTATCGCAAAAGTAAAAAATCATTATTGTTTTAGTTTTCGGGGGTAATAAAAGTAGAAGAGATTTTTTAATTTAATTTTTGTGGGGTTATAGTTGACGGATTTAGAACATAAAATTATTTAATAGCTTGTGTTTTAGTAGTATGTCATATTTTCTATACAATATAAGAAATTCGGTAGAGCTAATATTTTAATGTGCTAATTTTGCAAGAACCAAAAATGTCCTACATTTACTGTGAATTATATCGTGGATGAAGCCAAAAGTCTAGATATCGGTTATTGTAAATTATTGTGAACTATTTACTGAGATAAAAATGTTAGTCCAAACCAACCTACAACGGTGTATTGTTACAAAGTTCTACAAAATATTAACTAAAAGATCACACAGCACAGTGCAAGATTCTAATTTATTAAACGTACTTGTTAAACTAATCCATTAAAACTACGTTGTTCCAACACCATACTTGAGATAGGACCTGAAAGTCCAGTAATTTACACTATAGGTATAAAAACAAAAGGGAAACTACTTTACAATCAGAAACGAATATAAATACAAAGTATAAACATTTCTGACAATATACCAATGACTACAGAAATAATAAAAATAAACGAAAATGGAACTTACTCTTCTTTACTCGCAAAGGATTCGGCGTGCACCCGTCTGTTACACGCCCTGTCACAGCAGCGACAGTGCCAGTATGCGAGCACACTCAGGCTGAACACGAACACCGCCGTCGGCAGCACCAGAGCCAGGATCAACCCTCGCACCGTCGACTCCCACGAGTACCTCGCCACCACCAGGTCTGACCTAGTCAAACTATAGTAACAAGGGAAAATCTTCGGAGCTCTCGGGCCCGCGTAATCAGTCGCAAACACCGAACAATTAACCCGTGGAGGATAACCGCAACCTTCAGGGTTTATCAGAAACTTTAGATCAGTCTCATCCCATTCAGTCGGCACTGGTGCATTTTCTACAAACGGTCTTCTAGCTAAATTTACACGTATCTTATGACATTTAGTGTGGGCAGTCGTGCATCCTTCCCTGCATGACGCCCAGGTGCAATTGGTCAAGGTCTCGGCGTGCACATGTTCAGAGACAGAGCAGATACCAGCTTCTGGCACGAACTCTGCTAGTATTGTTTGAATAGCAGGTTCCACCACGAAAGGTATCAAGAAGAGGAAAGCGAAGACTGCGAGTATGGCTGATGTTCCTAGACAAAGTGATGTGTAGAACTTGAATCTTTCAAAAAAGTGGGTTAGAAGCTGCTCCCTCGTCGGTTGTTCCAAAGACTTGAAGTCTGGGCTGCCTGGTTCGGCAGACGCTCCCATAGGCAGCGTCGACCTTTCTGAGGCTGCTGGAGAAAGGCTCGCCCTGGATCTGCTCATAGTAGACATCTGGAGGGAGTGTCAGCCAGTAGAAAGCATTGCAAGCAGGTTAGTCGTCTCTTAATGAACTAGCCGGACCCTCACAGAGGAGGGGAACGCCTGGAACAGAAGATAAATAAAATGTTAGTAACAATTTTGAAGCACATATTGCAGTTGTCTTTAAATAAGGACATTTTTCAACATTATTGACGAAATCATAAACGATATAACTCGTTGGGAAACAATTTGGACTACCTATATATTGAAATATAATTGATATATCGTGTAAAGGCGTCCACACCCCACAACTCGCAAATACTGACTAACCACACTAAATAGTTACAAAAAACGGTATTAAAACGACTAGTGCCTATTACTAATACTTAGTTACCAAACTGGAATAATTTCACACAAATCTTCAAAATGATCGCATTAAATTAAATCAAAGACCCTTAAAATATTCAGTATAAAAACAGCCTTACAAAACTATGTCAAGGGCAGCGCCTATTTTGTCGCTCAAGCTATCGATTTTTCTAAAACAAGTTTGCGGTCTCACTAGTGAAATATGTATAGTTAAATCATCGTTGTTTATTTAGCTAAAAGTTTTAAAATTCATTGCGTTATAAGTTTAATATCGAATAAAGACGATCTGTATTAAAAATGAATGTTACTAATGAATTCTAAACCATTACCATTAATAATGAGGAATGGTAAGAATAGTAACATAAAAATATTTTTAGTTTTAAAAAGCTAACAATATTATGCAAAGGTACCAGGAAAAAAAACATCTTACGTGACTGATCTCAGAGTGGAGAAACAGGATCGTTTGGATGCAGCTGCATATCGGCTTGACCGCCAGCGCACCCCTTAAATCTCATCTTAGCGTCATCACCAACTTCAATGGTCCGTTGACACAACATTAAAGTTATACAAGACACTACGACCAATACTGTTGGCAGAACCAAAGCAACTAAGAATTGACGGTACGTAGTTTCTAGATCAAATCTGGCGACAACCGTGTCAGGGCTATTTTCCATATAAAAGCAAGGGAACCGTGCTTTAGCGTTGTGGTCAGTTCCATCGCGCCCATAGTCCTTCAGAAATTCTTTGCATTCATCAGCCAGAGTGTTTACACATCCTTCTAAGTTTATCATCAAACGGCTGTCATTCGCTAAAGTTAGTTCCACTTCAGAAGGAGCAATCACACGATTGGGTGTCGCTCTAGATTGGTATAAATATTGAAGGTACGTGAAGTTCGTCAGGTCAGCAATATCTACGCGCGGAAGTAAAGCGGCGTTGATACAATCTACGGCAACTACTCCTTGCGTTCCGTTGTGAACTGCGTGACACGATAACATTAGCACTTCTTCACCAGAGTCAGTCCAAACCACTTCGTTATTTTCTTCTTGAACTAACTTCGCACATCTTGCTAAAAACACTCTGTCCCCACTCAATACTATCACGTTTTTATTACGGGTAGGAATGTCGACGCATCTACGATCACAATTATAAGGTGTTCTTATTTTTCTACAAGTGCCTCTGTTACAAGAAAATAGTCCATGTACGTCTATACAAGTTATTTTCCCTCTTCTCCCGGAACATTTTAAAGGTGGATCTGTTTCTCTGAAGGCACACTCGAAAGCGTCTGTTATGTTGATACATTTTCCTTCGGTACAGTTGAACGTGCCTGTCAAATTTCTACATTCGTCCCTGATGCAGTGGTACTTCTTGGCATTCTCTTGGTCGATACCGAAGCATGTTTTGTTCGCAGCACTTCCACATTCAGACAGTAGTAAAGATGTGCCATTCTTCCTCACGTTGACGTAGATCTGGATGCAGGCGCCGGAGGTCTTGCTGAGACACCATTCACCACAGGAGCCCCAGTCACAGTTGTCTTTGTTAATTGCCCTTGTTGTTGTGCACATAATAGGGGTAGGGTCGATCCCGGACGCGATGGCTCTTGTGTACGGCATGTAGATCGCGACTGTTAAGTATACCAGTGACACTGCACTGAGGACAGCTGTCATCTGGCAGATGCAGATGGTTCCGCATATTTTCGTGTCCTGCGGAGGGACCACGAGATCTTCGACGGGTGTCGGTTTCGGCATGTCGTCGACTTCCCACCCGCGCTCTACAACCACTGACGTAAACGTCGTTTATTTGCGCATGCGTGGTGGCGCGATCGATTCGACGCTGCAGTGCGGACAACTTCGGTGGAAGGGATTTTTTTAGTAACATGTCAATGTCCGGAAAGTACAATTATAAAATATGTACACGCAATGGTTACTGAATGGGAGCATGCTATGTGATGCTCGTAATCAGAATAATGCTGTTGATTACAGGCTAATTTTAGAACGGATGTAAATAATGAATGTCTGCAAATGATGGAATGATAAAAGGACATGTAAACATAACATGCGTGTTTTCAAGTCTAGTCTACATTTTTGTATGTGATAATTAATAGGTAGGTCTAGTTATAATTTTATAATACAGTATCTAATAACTACGTACATTGTACTTGTACAATCAACAGGTTTCATTACTTTGTGTTCAAGCAAAAATCTGTATATTCGTACAAATAATTTTAAAAATCGATAGCTTGGCGTCTGAATAATTTAGTAAATAACTCTGTCATTAAATCGAATCAACCGAACAACCGCTTATTTAAAAAAATACTTAAAACATAAATATTTTCCGATATCATTTTGATAAAGTTATATTTTCCATTTTAATTCTATAATAACTAAGTAAAGATAAAATTAAAATAATCGGATTTTAGTTGTAAAATCATAAGAAAACTAAACTCACCTGTCTTTCGCCTCCGTATACGAATTTCAAAACATAAAGAAAATCCTTTTGTTCAATACCTTTTCCACTAAATATACAAGATTTTTGGTATATAAACGTCGCTTATAAAACAGTGTATTATTCTTTTATCACAGATGTTGAAAATTTATTAGATTTTTTATATAAAATGTGTGATTTTCGCGTTGATGTGTTATTTTCGACTGGTGTGAAGTGCGTTGGGGGTTGTCATGCGCAATGCGGAGAATCTGTACCAGTCTGAAGTTAGCTGTCTGTTTACTGCATACAAGCTCAGCTCATGGCGCTATTGAACTTTGTTGAAAGTTTTTGTTCGATTAATTAAGTGTTGGTTTTAGAAAAATAATAAAATAATATTGACGTAAATAAATTCTGTACAAAATATAACAGAAGATACAAACTTTGTTGATCTAATCAACGAAATTTAGATTAATTTATTTATTATTTTATTAATTTTTTACCGAAGCTCATAAAGATAGAAATAATAAAACCATACTTCGATTACCGTTACCTATACTTTCGATTCTGAAACTGAGTGTGTGAGCATGATAATTATTACATACTCAGATAGTCACGCGGTAACAGCACACAGCAAGAAAGTAATACAATATTAAAAACAATAATAATATAAATAAACTGTCAAATTATAAAAAAAGGATTAAGAAAAGATTTATTTTAATATTAATATTAAATATCAAGATTACCTTTCTAATATTTGCAAATCACACCTCTAGAATTGTCCAACAATCATTGAATGAAATTAATTTAAGAACATGGATCGAGACAAAGACAATATGTCAACGTGTAATTTTGTCCTTTAACAAATAAAAATAAACGAATAAACACTCACCATGAATTATAAAACTGTACACAGTTATTTCCATTTTCAAATTTTATTTTCACAATTTATTTTCCTTTATTTAAAAGTATTCTTTATTTAAATCCAAACGTTATTTATTTGTTTACATTTTCACAACCATAAGCCGGTGGTACACCGACGTGTTTTGCCGCGGTATCAAAACTTTCTGTTTTAGGTTAGGGCTAGTCAAACCCGCGCATGCGAGCTGAGCTGCCAAAATTTTTACGACTGAGCTTTTGAGGTTTGCAACGTTTTCATCGACTTTCTTCAAAATATTGCAGTTTGGTCAAATATTAAGTTATTGGCTAGCATATTGCTAACGAAATCTTCAAATAATGTCTTAAGAATTGAAAGACACTTAAATGTTTTTTCTTAATTTCATTTTAAGGAGTAGATTAGACATCCAGAACTCTTTGTTTTCGGAGTAATCAGGTAGGTAATGGCAGTCCGTTCTAGTTTGATTTAAAATATTGACGTGTAAAAGTGATATTGTATAACTTATAATACATACATACATTACCAGCCTATGAATCAATGCGGGTTGGTGATTTCAAACTTATAATTAGAAATTACCAGTCAATGTTTCCTCACGATGTTTTTCTTCACTGTAAAATCGATTTGGGGTAAATAACAAGAACGGAGACAGTTAAATTCAATTGAGCTATTTTTTTGTTACCTATATATTTACGCTACTTTTAAATTCAATGCAGGTTTACTGACAATAGTGACATTGTAACTGACGTCATAATAAGTAAATAATATTTCTTAGTCCTCCTGTAAAATCCACACTTATCCTCTCATAAAGAAATTGTAATAAAATACTATTTTAAATGATTTAGTACTGAGGTCGAGACTGGAATGTATCATGTTGTTAGCCAGATTTCATCAGGTATCCGTGGTGATGGTAACCTTACCACTATATTTGACATAGCGTAAAATGCATTCGAATACAAATAGATACACTATAATTTGCGTGGTACATCTGCTTGTTTCTGATTTCAAGCGCGATCCGAATATTTTCACAATTTTAGATATTGTTTTTTCTTTTACAAATAAATTAATCGGCACGAATGGGCTGGCTTGACCGGAGTGACACCACGGCCTCACAGAAAACCGACGTGAAACAAAGCTTGCGTTGTGTTTCGCCGTATGAGTAAGATATTAGAAGCTCAATTACTCCCTTTCCCAATCTCCCCAATCCTCGGAATCCTCAACAAACCTCAAATTCCTAATTCCCAAAAGGCCGATAACGCACTTATTACACCTCAGATGTTTCGGGTATCCATGGGCGACGCCGATTGCTTACCATCAGGTGATCCGTCTGCTCGATTATCGTCTTATTCCATAAAAACTCCTAATTGTTGAAATAAAGCCATAAAATTAAATCTTTATCCGCGTCACTTGTAATTTTTTTTTTTGAATATTTTTGCGTTTGGTTTTCCGCGCGGTCACTTCTACTCATTAAATAATTCTTTACAACAAATTAATGCTTTTTTAAGACTTTGTTCTACACTAGGTTTTTCTCGTGTGTCGTAAGGCGTTTCAAAACACATAATTTAACATACACATGACATTCTGACTCGGAACAACAACTTATGGATCACACAAAGAGTTCTTCCGTGCGGGTATCGAACCAGCGACACGTTGCACGGCCGCTGCGCCAACCGTGCAGTCATTTCCATCACTTATGGAACAGTGCTCCATCAATTCAACCAGTAAGGCAGTATAATAGAAGAGATTGTTATTTTACAAGGAAAAATAACATAAACACAAAGAAAATCTTCCAAACCTCAGAGGGCATAAGGGTCAACGTACATCAATAAATCAACGAGTCCGTCCGTTTATTGCATTATGTCGTTAGTCTGATTGGTCGCTAGCAATTTATCAGTTAGGCCTAAAGCGGTGCGCATACGCATCCTACGTGCGTTAACTGGAAATAACTGAATATTATTGAGTAAGCGATCAGAGGTATTTTTTTCCGTGAGAAGCGGCCTTTGTTTGGTTTAGTTTTGTTTAATGTTATTAATTTAATAGTTTTAACTTATAGGAATAACATGGCATTCCTTAACTTAAAGGTTTATGCAGAGGTGTACATATTAAGTATCTACTAAATTATGAGGCTCATATAGATAGCCATAAACCAGAGTCCACTCTAGATTATATAATATATTTTTTCTATAGGTATTTAAGTGTGTAGTATACCTATTACTCTATTACTTAACAGATTTTTCGAATTGTGTTCTGGCTTCGCATCAACCTCTTCAATTCTCTTCACTTCCCTATGGTTGACTATAAGAGGATGCCTTAAGGCATTAAGTCTACCATTCACTTTTATGTTTTGTGAAGAAGAAATACACTCTCTGATTCACAAGAATGCGAGCTTAATTTCTTAAGCGATACCTCTAATCACCAACCAGCCCTAAGAATCCATTGCTGGACCATGGATCTACAGAAAAAGAAAGTTTGAAGATCAAAAGAAGGTTTTGCCGTTATAATACTAGAGTAGAATACAATCATCATCACCATCATCAAGTGTGGGAGCCATGCTCCGGCACGAATGCGTCGAATCGACTGCAATGATACCACAGCTGAGCAGAAAATTGCCGTGAAACAACGCTTGCGTATCATTATGTAAGTGAGGTAACCGGAGGTCTAATTATCCCCGCTTCCCCAATCTCCCCAATCACTGAATCCTCAACAAACTTCAAATTCCTAATCCCAAAAAGGCCGGTAATGCATTTGTAACGCCTTTGGTGTCTCAGATGTCCATTGGTGACGCCGATTGCTTACCATCCAGGTGATCCATCTGCTTCTATAAAAACATGCAGCGTTTACCGGTGGACTACCACGGGCCTGATGATGTCATCATCCTCATCGATGAGGATCCATCATTTAATGATAGTCATCATTCAATGTAACATTATTTTTTGTAATGATTTAATCAACAATTTGAAGGAATATTTGTATGAACGTTTTAATATAGTTAAAAATAACTGTACCATTTCTGCAACAACAATTACGGTTCTTTTTTGTCCATCGCATATTACTTTACCCAACAAACAACCTATCGTTAAACTATAATTATATAAAATTGTAATAAGAATATACTTATCTCAGTAATAAAAGCGAAAAGAAATGATTCGTTCAAATCGATATCCATTTATTTCTTAGAACTTTAAATGGACTCCATGCCGGTTTCTAGTTAGATCAGTGGTTCTCAAATAAGATTATGTATTGATAATATTTTGCGGAGGTTTAAGACGCCTACCTCTCATGCATGAGAGTAAGGGTTCGAAACCTCCCAACAGCAAGTACCAATGTGACTTTTCCGAATTATATGTACTTTCTAAGATTGTCTAGACACCACTGACAAACGGTGAAGGAAAACATCGTAAGGATAACCTGGGCTTATAATTTCTAATTATAAGTTTGTAATCGCCAACCTGCATTGAGCAAGCGTAGTGATTAATACTCACACCTTCTCCGTGTGAGAAGAGGCTTTGCTCAGCAGTGGGCATATAGGCTGTTGATGAATATTTTGCGATTTCGTGCCGAGTAAAGGGTGCTGTAATAAAAATGGCGACTGTTGTTTGTTGAGAAAATACTAATCTTATAATTTTATTATTAGTCATCGGACACACACTGTTCAAATTTGAAAGTGGAATATTGTAACATTTATTATTTATCTATTGTCATTTCTGCAAACCAATCAGAACAATTCTAAACAGTAGGTACAAATAAAAGTATTACGGAAATATGATAAACTGGCTGGTGCCTGAACTGACTTGGCCAGAAACCAATCGTTCCTTATTCAAATATTTTAAGACATTAAGTTTTTTTTATTTCTTTTTTATTTTAGTAAGTTTTGTAATTAGTATAATGCGTCAAGCTTGTTTTTGTTCTCACATATGCGTACAGTATTGCAATATGTATCAGAGACATTGTAGAACATACTTTTTTAAAAAGAGTAACGAATGGAGATTCTAGCTCTTTCTTCTCCATTCGAATCTAAATTTTGGAATAAGCCCCTAGCGTGACTGAATGACTGACTGACAGACTTTTTATTTTGTATTTGTTGACGTTTCAAAAATATCAAATTATGATTTAATTGAAAAAAATACTTTGACTTTGACTTTGAAGTAGAACTAATGAGAAATGAGAAACCTTAAATAACAGCAACCTTAAATAACAGTAAAGATTGGGACACACAGATCTAGATGATATCAACCTCGAAATACCTAATAAAAAAATAGTAAAATCAAAATGTTACTCGTTGTGGACGCGACGCTACAGTGCTATGTGCCTACAAGACGAGCCCAGATCTTTCCAGACGTACCCACGCATCCACCAGGAGTGCTAAACCTTTGATGTAATGATTATTAAATCTTATTATTGGATAAAACTGCCTCATTGGCCGAGTGGTCGCAATTGCGATTGCCGGGCAAGGGTCTCGGGTTCGATTCCCGGATCGGGCAAAGTATTACTCGGTTTTTAAAAATACTCAGTAGTAGAACGGAGTCTGGAATTTTGCCCGGTATATGGCAATAGACTCACCTCCTATTACATGGGACTCATAATATAAATAGTGGAAAGTGGGTGTTACATTTAACAGTGGTATTAAGTGCCGTAATGTGCACCTCTGCTTATCCCTTCGGGGATAAAAGGCGTGATGTTATGTATGTGTATGTATTGGATAAAATTTATTGTTTTTTACAAACCCTTCTATGTAGAAGATGCAGCATAGTCTAGAAGTGGACTGTTCATAATACTGTAGATCTATTAAGTAACTTTTAATTCGAAAGATCGATGTGAGTGAGATCAGACATTTTGTTTTCAGTTACAATCGCTGAGAATTAACTCGTGATGCCAAATTATAAAGAAAGAAAATCTTTTATTACGCCACGACAGACATTCATGACAACAATGAAAGAATGCATAAAATGAAGTTCATGGTGCGTCGCAGCGCAAAAAACCTGAGCGCAGCTTAATGCCCGGGCACGAAGGTTCGACTCCACAGTTCTTTCTCTTTGTTTTCAGCACCAGCCCAATACGTTACGTAATTGGTTGGAGTGTTTTAAGTAGGCTTTGGGATTTTATGGGATACGGCGGTAAACACACCTCCTGATAACAAGCAATTGACGCCGTCCATGAATACCATAGGAGTTCCAAGTGCATTGCAGAGTATAATCTATACAGATAAATAAAATTGTAGTTTTGTTTGTAATATCAAAATAACTGCTTTTACTACATACATATGAATATACATACAATACATATATACAAAAATAACATTTTTTACAATTTTAACTGTCTACCTGAACTGGCTAATGTCTGGAGGTAGGTATGACTAAGGAGTAAATAACATAGGCCACGTTTATTTTGGATAATTGAATCAAAAAAAGTTATATTCTAAAATTCATATTCTACGCGGTCGAAGTCACGGGCAACAGCTAGTTAAATAATAATGTCAAACGACAAAACCAATATCCTGACAAAATGTTGACAACCCCACGAAATCCGGTGATTACCATCAGTCCACAGGATCTTGCGACCGGCGGGTATATAAACGAGGACACCCTGTAGGACCCAGCACAACTCCTGCGCATCCTATCATACACTGTGACGCTATCTACAAGTATCAAGATGAAGACTCTGTTTGTTTTCGCTGCCTGCATTCTGCTCGCTCAAGTGAGTTGAACTTTTTTTGATATTTGCGACTTTTTCATAGTATTCAATTTTCGTCATCTTTGCGTCCTAATATTATATTACTTTTTCATCCTAATTCAATATTATGTAGTGTGTTAATCAACGTATTACCATTACTAAGACCTTTCAATGCGATTGTTGCTAAAGTATTTTTCTTAAATGTTCGTTTCTTAAATTCGTGTTTCATTATTCATGATTTTTTCAAAGACATTTTTTTAAGTCAACTTTACTTTGTACAATTTTAATTAATTGTCCAGTGATTTGTATGTTTAAATGAACCAATTATCAATCACAAATCACGATGATGACACGATGAATGAAAATTTTATTGAAATAAAAAATAATCACTTTAATATGAATAAGAGAAAATAAATACAATACCCCTCCTTCAATTAGTCGGGCGAAAATAGAATTGCGTTATAAAATTGAAAGTAGAAAACGACGGTTAGACCTACGTCTACTCCTGTCTACTTCTAGGGGCCAATTTTTCACTACTCAGATAAATTTTAACTGATGAATAACTTTCAATATTTGGCAATTCTTCCAGACTCAAAACTGTCCACTATCAATTTTATTCTATAACTAGTTCAAAATTAACTGATGATTAAAAAATCGACCCTTAATAGAAAAAAAAATCATCACAAGACCCCGAATTACCTATCAGTCAAGTAATCCATTATTGTTTCGGTTCAGGCTCTGACTGACGAACAGAAGGAGAAACTCAAGAAACACCGCACTGAATGTCTAACTGAGACCAAAGTTGATGAGGAGCTGGTGAACAAGCTGAAAGGTGGTGATTATAAGGTAAGAAAATATACAAAAAAGGCACCGGATGAATTGAGACCCTTCTCCTTTTTGGCAAGTCGGTTAAAAAGAGTAAGAACTTCGTCCTATTTTTTTGAGGGGGGAAATCATCCAATGTCTTCTCCCGCCCACTAAACTAAAAACGACTAAAAACCACCCCGTTCCTACTCCTGCACTTCGAGCCGGACCCTCGGTAACCCGTTAAGTTTTCCGCGGCTTCGTATCGACATCAGCCCTGTAAGGCTGTCTGTGGTGGTCAGATGGCTCCTTGAAGCACGCGCGGAACGCGACGCGCCGTACGCTCGGGCCTGGTTCTGGTTAGGCGGCTTACGGTGGCCGGAGATCGTCTCGCGATCCCCGATACCCGTAATGTCTCGTTTTCGTTCCCTCCACCTCCTGCTTAGCTAGCATGACTGCTTCGCAGAAGGAGGAGACGGCATCCCAGTCCCCCTCGCTCTGTACCATGGTCTGAATTAGAACCGGACGCGAGAGGTCGCCATCGCGGAAGAATTTCGCTCTGAACGACGATTGACGGACTAAGAACCTCCGTGACATAAGAGGGCTTGCAACATAGCATGATAATCCGCTTGATTACCGGGTTGGAGATCGTAGTTAAAAAGTTTAGTAATGCTAAATACTTGGATCCTGTTCCATGCTCAAAATAAACTCAATGTTAAAATAAGGTCGGTGGTAAAAAGGTTCACAAAACAAAAAAGGAAGAACATACCATTAAATCTTCATAAATAGAATCTCTGTTTCGATGGTAAAAGTTCTTGCTGGAGATATCGATAATAAAAAAATTTGGTATTCAACATGAGACCTCGTAATAGTCATCAACGGCACTTAATGCTACTGTACAATATAACACTTCACTATTTATGTTATGAACCCGATGTAGTAGGGAGTGAGCCTATAATTTGCCCGACTCGGGAATCGAACCCGAGACCCCTTGCCCGGCAGCCGCACTGGCGACCACTCGACCAATAAGGCATTTATCAATCATACAGATTGATTATTTCAACCGAACATACACAAAGTTTAAAAGTTTTAACACATCCTAAACTTTTTAATAAGAATATATTGCATTTTATTAGATGGACAATGAGGCCCTGAAGAAATATGCTCTCTGCATGATGATGAAGTCAGAACTGATGACCAAGGACGGCAAGTTCAAGAAGGACGTCGCTTTAGCCAAGGTTCCTAACCCAGGTAAGATTAAGTTAAGTAGATGATGAGTATGTGTGCTGATCTTGATGAATGTAGATGTTGTGCAAAAGTTGTGAGAAATGTAATAGATTTTAGACCCCATAACATTATGGGGCTTAATGGTACCCATATAAGTTGAAATAAAATACACACGAGCAATCTTAATCAAAAAAACGGTCCCCATTTTAATATTTCCCCAAGATGATTGGCTGATACAACATAATTATTTGAATAATAAGAAGAAAATATAAAAAAAAAGAAATGTTATAAAATTAACGTTATTATTTTCTTTCCTTTAGCTGACAAGCCGACCGTGGAGAAGCTTATTGATGCCTGCCTGGCCAACAAGGGCAACACTCCCCACCAAACTGCTTGGAACTACGTCAAGTGTTACCATGAAAAAGACCCCAAGCATGCGATTTTTTTGTAATTGCAGAACACCAGCTGCCTTCGGATTCTTTCTAAGAATTTTCTGTTACAGCCCTTTTCTTTTTTCCTAACAAAAATAACATTTGAACTGCAACGCTCAAAGACGTCTTTACACCACCGAATTCAAGTTGCGACTGATTTAAAATTGCTCTACATTTTTTGTTGTACCCTCAAAAATACTTATATTAAAATGGTAATTGTTTAGGCATAATTCGGATTACAGGGATTGATTTTATTTGAATTAAGAAACGGACTTATTTTTGTCAACTGCCTTTACGAATTTATTAAAATCATCAGTTTAAGAACTACATGGTTTTTTATTACCAAACTCCGAACATATTTTTATGATTATTTTTGCAAAATAGACTTCCACAGTCAGACATTATGGAGCATTTTCGGGTGCACCTTCAAATCAAATCTCGAATATAAATGCAAAATATGACAGAAAAGTGAACTAACAAGAGAGTCCACCAATCCCAACATCCACGTCCACTAACTAAGTAAATTAATTAAAATCGCGGGCTACTCACGTGAATATACTAAGAAAAGCTCAACTGGTTTCGAACCACAGAGGGGTTCTTCCTCATGAGCACCGTGTGCGATCGCGGCGACGTCACGCAGCTCACTGATTTTAGTTAATTTAGTATATCTCATGATAGTTATTATAAAAACGAACTAAGTACTCCAAGAACCAGTCATACTCAGTTAGCTGTCACCACAGAATGACTTTTGACTCCGAAGTCGACTCTTCGACTCCGTAGTATCATGAATACAATATTATGATTATTTAACACTACTACAATGCAGCTCCAACCCGCTTGCCAAAAGTGCAAATTCTGGCAAACCCCACAGGTAGAGACCCAATCTATTCTTATAAGGGGGAAATAAGTCATTAGATGATTTTATCCCCCCTAAAAAAAGGGTAACAAACTCTTTCCTGAAAACCGCATCAAATTCGGCTGAGCCAAACATATGTACATACGTAAAGGTTAAACTAAGATCCTCCTTCTTTTTTTGAAGTCGGTTAAAAACCTAGAAAAAAAAGAAAAGTAGGTCAGGACATAACAAATGATGTATTGTGCATTTCATGTCCGTCTCATAACTTCTTGACCTTGGATAAAACAAAACGTCCATTGATATTAATACAATAACTATTGTCATAGTTCCGTGTTTCTATCTAGGATGGGAAGTTTTTCATAAGAGTTAGTTCAGATGGTATAAGAACTATTATTTTTTTATTTGTATGTTTTTTTTTTTAAGGGGGGAAAATCATCGAATGACTGCTCCCGCCTGGGTGAGGCGGGAGGGAGTGTCAGACTCTTACTGACTAAAAACCATCCCGTTCCTTCTCCTGCACGTCGAGCCGGAGCCCCGGTTACCCGTTAGTTTCTCCGCGACTCCGAATCGGCATCGGCATCGGCAACGCGACGCGCCGTACGCTCGGGTCTGTTTCTGGTCGGACGGGGAGCCACCCATGCTCACCGTCCGCAGGCCCGCGCTTACGGTGGCCGGAGATCGTCCCGCGATCCCCGATGCCCGGTGTGTCCTTCGCGATGGCTGGGTTGCGAGGAGGCAGCGCTTCGCTGCCTCACAATCGGCATCCCAATCCCCCTCGCTCCGCATCATGGACCGCACTAGGCCCGGACGCGAGAGGTCGCCATCGCCGATCACTTCCCTGAGGGCACGGCGGTGCTCAGCCCACGCAGGGCATTCTCCCACTGTGTGTTCCACCGTGTCCTCAGGGTTTATTTGTATGTAGTAAAATAATGAAAGACTGCTTTTTCGATCGGCAAGGCTGCAACCCTAAAAGGGCTTACATTTGATACGTATATACTAGACTAAAAAGTTAATATCAACAACAATAGGTCCAATAGTGGGCAATAAGTATCTTCAACCAAAGACTTCGAATATCCTAGAGATCGGTAGGTCATTGACATAGATCGACAAATTCTATATAGTTACTTTGTTCATATTTGTAAAGATCTATATTTGAAAAAATGGACCCAATAAAACGCGGAGAAGTCACAGATATAAGGTATCTAATGAAATACGTTTTTTTTTTATCGTATGAAGAAGCCATTATGACACCTAGGTAATATACCTATCATGTATGATAATATTTGAAATCATTGTTTTCAGTATGTCTTCCTTTTAAAGAGAATAAAATGGCTTTCTTATAAGAAAATGAAACATTCATTTAATTTTCTATAATAGGCGCACAAGTGCATGTCGTTTTTCAAAAAATGTTAGGGATTAATGTGGCGGTTGCCGTATTTTTTGCGAATATTGTTTGTGGTGTTGACGAAACTGTAAAGGTATGGTTTAATTAACAACTTTATCTTAAATCCTTTTTTTAGCTTTATTATTTTATTTTTTTTAGTTTTTGGTTACGTGATTCGCGCGAAGATCACCAATACTTTTTTCATTCCGACTATCTTATGGGGCGAGGTGGCAAACTCCCGATGGATACAACACCAATATTTGTGAAGTTTTATAATTATAATTTCGTCAAGCAACCATTTCTTTTTTATTTGCAGTGAATTATTAATTTTTAAAAATTATGCTAATGTGCTGCCATCTTTATTGTGTATCCCTCATCTATTCGATAATGTCAAGTATTTTAACTGTTGTGTTTTGTTTTAGAATTCTACTACTGACGAAGTAGTATTAGCAAAGAGATACCAAATGGAATGCATAGAAGAGACAAGAGTTGATCCTGATTTAATCACTGGAATAAAAGGCGGATCTTGGAGTATACCATGGGTACGTATTAAATACCAGAAATCATAATACTTAATGTTAAAATACCTTTATACAAAATCTCTAAATTTAAAATACCTAATGGTTGAAATATCGATTAGATTATACACCAAAATAATTAAGTACTACGTAGAGGCATCACTTAGGGCACCCCGACACATTTGTATAGGTTATGTTAAAACTGTGACGCCCATTGTGGAAGAAGCGCGAACATAGAGAGCAGTACCGCAGCAGTGGCCGCCAAACACTGCATTATCGGATGAGCTTCAGCGACTCAGTAGGGTAATACCTGCTCCAAAGCTCAGGAAGGCCTAGAGGTTCACCAGTGCTGTCAGCTCAAAGCAGGTGTAGAAATGGGGTGGTTTTTAGTCAGTAAGAGTCTATTAGTCTACTAGTCTACTAGTTAGTCTACTAGTTACTACTTAGTCTACTAGTCTACTAGTTAGTCTACTAGTTACTACTTAGTCTACTAGTCTACTATCTCTCTCTCTCTCGCCTCACACAAGGCGGGAAAAGTCATTGGATGATATAAAAAATTAAAAAGCTCTAAATTCTTGGTTAACAATATTTATTTTGATTAATTTTCACCACTAAAGTATCACTATAGCATTTCGTCAACCATTTTAAGTAGTAATTAGGCTAAGGCTGGTAGGTTAACCTATCCTTTTGTGTCAAACTCTATATCATCTTCAACTTTATTACATTTAAATAAAGTCGAAAATCCAATGAATAAATTTGATGGATTGGAGTAAGTTGTTCTATATATTTTTTAGAATTCTAGACCTCTGGTGAGGAAGTGGGCATTATGCGTGATGATGAAAAGAGGATTAATGACCAAGGAGGGAGTTTATAAACTAGATGTCGCTTTAAAAATGGTTCCTAGAGAAGGTAAGAGAAGTATTTAGATTGTTGACATAAACGGACCCCTTAGTACGATTTTAAAAGTAATCGAAACAATACTGCCTTCGGCGCTCCGATTGGTTAGTTCATTGGTGCCGGCCAATTAGAGCGCCGAACGCGTACTTGTTTCGACTTTAATTAACTCTTTCAATCTTGGTGGTAACTGTAACTAACCACCTTTTCTTAGAAATTCAATTTTTTAAGTATGCTTCAAACTACTTTGCATTGGTTTTTAAGCATTTCAGTATAATTGAATGAAATATATTCGTTACCAGTTAAAAGTGTGACTGAAAGAGTTAAACGTAAAACACACTATAAGTTGTACTAAGCCCTCAGTTCCTTATACTAAAATTTTCTATTTTTTTACACACAAATCTCACCAATAATTTATTCTTTGTCGATCAAGTATTTTTTTGTAGGTAATTATTATTCAAAAAGCCTGATTAAACTGTCAAATACCAAGCGGTCACCGGTGACCGCAACCTATTGTTCTATAATTGTGTCTACAAAACCGGTATTCGACGAGTTAATAGCAACGCAAACAATCAAAATGGAGTTTAAATCATAGTAGTATCTATAAAAAGCCAAGAGGTATAACATTAAGTCTACCTAGACTTCTTAGTCTCAAACGAAGATTGGCTTGATGAAGCATAATAATTTTATAGTGTACCTTTTTTCATTTCAGATAGGGATGCTGCGGAGAAGGTAATAGACCAATGCTTGACCCCAAAAGCTATACCAGCTGAAGACATTGCCTTTGAATTTATTCAATGCTTCAAAAAATCTAAAGCGAATTACTCAGTATCTATTTTTATTTAGGTAATTAGTTAGGTACTATCTCCGATTTTGTGTGCACAAAAAGATAATCCCTGTATTTTCCGCTGCGGGTGTAATTTAGGGATCCCTTCGAATATTATGATAACAAATATATTAAGTTTCCTGAGTCCAGAAGGTCCGAGACACTCGGTAATACAAGTTGAAGATGAATCTATAGTTTAGATAAGCGCCATCTATCCTAGTAACACTGTACTATAACAGACAGTAGTGACATCTTGTGAGGCCTTGGTGAACTTATAACATCGGGTCATTTGGTGTTCGCTCCAGAATATAGACGCCCCTTGCCGGTTTATTGTAATAATAATGATGTAGGGTTATTGTGTTACATTATGAACACTAGAATGTAATTTAGTGTAAACGTTGTCGTAGAGATGGCGTTGTGCAGAAGTTTTAGACACAGTCGTATTAGTCGTGTATGCTTGTTAATTTATTGTTTTTTTTTTTTAGATTTTTAATTAACGACTGTCATTTTGTTGAAATACCTAGAGTAATAAATAAGTGAATTTCCTTTTAGGTGTTCGACAAAATATAACAATGCGCAATATATGGTTTGTTTTTTTTTTTGATTTCTTGAATTCACATTTTACATTAACATTGGTTAAATTACGTCAAACATTGACTGTATCAAGTAACAAGTATGTACTTACTTTGTCCTTTGCAGCAACTAACATCTCACAATTACCATAAAGTTGAAGTTCGAGAATCCATTAATTATCTGCCGTCACTTGCTTAACACTGACAGTATAGTCGACGACACAGTATTAGTAGACTCGATTCCCATTCAAGAAAAAAAAAGAACCTACCTACAATT